TATGTTTATAAATATTGAAATCTGCCTAAAAGGTTGAACTGGCTTCTTAGATCCCTAGAGCTAGTATAAATTTTAGATTTAAAACACATTGTATTTTGTAAATTTTTAAAATTGAATTTTAATAAACGTCTCAATCTGTTCTTATCAGCTTAATATCTGATACGTCCCGCATGCGGGACCAGTATATTAAACTGATTTTTGGAAATCGACGGAGGTTAGGGGCTTGCTCCACCTCCGTCACGGGTTGGCCCGGTATTGCAGTACCGCCGGGATCGGCCCATTTTAATCGAATTAAAATCAAAAGGGAATAAAATAATTCCGTTATTCCGTATTTGTGAGAAACGTTTGGCAAAATAAAAAAATATAACGAAATACATCGAATATATTCGATAAATCGAACAAAAGACATCGATATTTTTAATTTATATCGATATATATTTTATTCTTCTATTTTTTTCTACGAGCGTGCGAAAAGGGCTTTTTTCTGCACGAATTTTAGGCCATGAAAATATCAAAATAATTATGCAACATTAGGTCACCCTGATACTTTCAAGTCCTGAAATGCGTGCGAAAAAGTACTTTTCCGCACGATCCTAGAAAATGGCTATTTCCCTAACAAGTGCGGAAAAATATTTTCCGCAAGGGTTAGGTACAATATTTTTCCTACAGGCGTAAAAATGCATTTTTTTTTTTTTTTTTGACAGATCAGTGCGGTAAAACTTTTTCCGCACTAATATGCCTGCGGTAAAAGTTTTACCGCACCGTGCGGGGAAAACTCATTTTCCACACGCATATCAGTGCGGAAAATCGACTTTTCCGCACGGCTGTAGGAAAATAACGTTCCCTAATCATGCGGGAAAGTCTCTTTTCTTCATTCGGTTGGTACGTAAACGCCCTAACTGACGTTTGTTTTATTTTTGCCGCCACTTATTTCAACTGTCGGACTGTCACATACAATAAAAATTAACTATGCGCACGAGCCAATAATTATTTTTAAATTTCCGATAGATATATCGAAAAGGTTACTTACCTAAATATATCGATATTTTTTTCAATATATCGAATGTAAAATATCGATTAAAATATATCGATATATTTGAATAATATATCGATATCGATATATTTTTGCCATCCCTATTTGTGAGCGTCGCGTCAAAGGGCATCGCGTCAACCGGGGTCGCGTCGACCGGCGTCGCTTCAGCCGGCGTCGCGTCAACCGGCGTAGCTTCAACGATGCGTCTAATTGAACAATGTCTTTTACAACTCAACAATAACAAATAGGTACAAAAGTTGACCATGAGCAAGTCAAATAGATTCAGCCTTAATTAAGCGACAGATAACTACATGGCTAAGAATTAATACGAAACAATAAAAGAATAACACCTATAAAATCGCGACAAGCTTTTGCTTTTCAAACCTATGAACTAATTGAATACGTCAAAAAGGATGAAACATGCTAACATGCATAAAATATCACTGGTTCGACAAGGCAAGTACACTTTACCGCACGATCGTAGGTGATAGTTATTTACCTAACAAATGCGGAAAGTGATACTTTACCGCACGCAACGGCAGTTGACCGAACGACGCGAAGCGGAGTTCAGTCAAGCCGTTAAGGGCGGTAAAGGCACTTTCCGCATTTGTTTGGTACAAAATTTTACCGATGAGCATCTGATACATGTCCAAAAAAAGGTATTAATAAAATTAATTAATAAATCATATTAATTAATGAAATTAAATTAGATTTAGAAATGATCAAAAATCCATTTTCTGAAAAAGAAAGGAATTTTAATCATAAATACCAAAGTCTACTTTACCGCATACTATGCGGTAAAGTTAACTTTACCGCACACTTTGCAGTCCATTTTACCGCATACTATGCGGTAAAGTTAACTTTACTGCATAGTGTACGGTAAAGTGCTACTTTCTATTTTCGAATAAGTGTGGTGAAGTGCACATTACCGCACGCTCGTAGGTAAAAGAATTACGCACATAATAGGTAGGTATTAAGGGAAAAACTAATCCGCGCGGCCGACGGCCGCATACCTTTTTAATTAAATCTTAAATTTGAACTCGGTAAAATGGCCCATCACAAAGACAGGCCTGAAAAAAATTCAGAATATACCCATTTATGTTGACCCTCTCCACGGAAATCTTTAGTAAAAGGCGAAAGATTTATTCGCTTTGAAGAGAGTCCAGGGTGCCGAGCGAAGGTAAACTTTTCGGGCCAGTATCATTCTTCACTTTTTACGGTGACAAAAGTTTGACAGTGGAGACATCTATTGCCGTGTTATCGAACTCAACAATTTGCCTAGACATAAATAATAGCAATGATAATAGTAACATTTAGATGCCCTGAAAAGTGCATATCATAGGTACCTACCTACCTACCTACCTACGAAATTATAATACATCAATTATACCTATGTATATTATCATCTCTTGGGGTCTGGGTCCGATATTCTTTAGATAAAACGCACATTAGCTATCAATAATTCCCTTCTTGTAACAATAATTTCTTTTAGAGTTTGCATTATGCGAGCCTTGGGCCTTGGCAATCAATAATCAAAAATAAATTCGTTAGTTTTTTTTTTCTTTCGCCAAAACGTCAAGTGGAAACGAGAGCCAACCACCAGCCAACTACGGTGGTAAGTATGTATGTATTTTTGTTCTTTTTTTTTATTGATAACCTATTTTACTTATTTAATGTACTTCTCAGCGTGTTTAAATCCAACATTAAAAAACGCGCGTGTTTTAATAAAGTTACCATGACAACATCAACAACCTCCAGAAAGGTAAAGTCTAAATGTCAACATTTTAATTATTGATTTGTCAGACAACAAAGGTATACCAGATGTCATATCACGAATTTAGCATTCTACAACTATCAGTAATTTATGATTTGAACGTATAGGTACCAATAAATTCTATATTCTATGTATAGGTATCAATAAACTCTATTTCGAGCACTCCGGCTGCGCCGTGTCGTGCTCGAAAAATCGCGCGTGTTTTAAAGACCTTAATATCCACTTATACTTTAATATACTACATATTTCCTTTCCCCTCGAATAGCGCAATCGCTCTCAGGAGAGGCAAAATATACAAAATACAGGTATAACGTGTATATTACGGTATTCTTTTGTTTAAATTATTTAATCCGGGACAGCGCGTACGCAGTCCCGACTACCAAAAATTACGCGCCCGAGTTATCCGCATTAGGGATAATCGCAGGGGTCAGCCCAACCGTAGTGCAATGGAAGGGCCTCACCCCGGGGGAACCGCCTTGTTGATCACGGTAGCCCCTACGCCAGGTAAGTATGATTTGCAGCGGGAAATTTTTACAGCTCATTCTATCGGCCATCGGTAAGCTGACATTATGTCGACTGTGCTGTCATCTAGCGTCTACACGTCACGTTGAAAATTTAACTTAACTGAACAGGGAAATTTTCATCATTATTGTCGTTTTTAAACATTGCCGTGGTCCATTCTGGGACTAAACCAATAAAATACATATATTACCTATTATTGTTTTCGATTTTTGCTCCAGGGCTTTCTTTGTGCAACGATTTAGATTTTAATAATTTCATCTCTGTTCCAACTATACGTATATTATTTTCCTTATACGTCGCGTATATTCATATTACATTAAATATTATTAAAAATCATGAATTCAGCACGTAGCGCATTCGCCATAATGCCATCAAGCAGGGGGCAACCTGGAGATCACAACATTGGTAACTTTGCAGAAAACTACGTTTCTCAGGACAGCCCGCACACAATCAAAAAAATCAACAGCCTAAATTGCCAGTATAGTATAAATAGTATAGCTAGAGGTATCCTAAAAATTTGGTTTATTTCCGGTAACCTACTACTTTAGCAGCCTTATAACGTAAAACCGCATTTACTATCCCTTAAAGTGACCGTCGACCGTCCGTCCTACCCGCCTCATTCAATTCGATCGAATGCGTAGGAAAGGTAGCAGGTAGGTACCTCTACTTGAAAATTTTTACCTCTAATGAAATTAATTTTAATTCGACTAAACAGCCTCTATAGAGGCTCGCAAAAATTGCCTTAGCGCACGGTTTTTCACGTGCACGTGGCGGGGTATTGGTTAAAGTTTTCAACTAGCAATAATCGCACCTCGGATAAACCTCATTGGTTACGATAATGCCACTGCGCAAAGCTAACGAGATTGTCCTAAAAGATCCGGGCTCGTTCGAATGTCCAACATTTCGTCGGTAGCTATGAAATTGTGGCGTCATCTGGTTGCAAATCGACACATTAACGAACGGACAAAACACCTACACCGTTCAATACTACGTGCACTCGTGCTCTTTTTCAGTTAAAAACGCATGAGTGCAAATTTGTCGGAAATTATAAATATATTTCCATTGCACGAGTTGTGCATTGCCGTCCTTGAACGCACCCCCGGAATAACCGAAATTTTGAGTTTATTTGAGGAGATATTTCAAAATAGGTGTCGCGAATCCGGGGGCCCCCTATTTTGGGGGCGAAGCCCCGCGGGAGCCCCGTCTTTGGGGGGGCACAGACCCGCGGGGCCCCCTATTTCAGGTGGCATAATCTTAATCCTTTCAAAAATTATCGCTAATTTTAAGGCTCTCGTGGTATTTATTCATTCATCATCATCTCCGAAAATTTCATCCTTCCAGCAACTCGACGCAACGCGGCAACTTCGACTCTGGATTAAAAAAAAAAAAGCTATAGGTACGAGCGGGACCTGCCGTGCCTGTTTGTCGTTCGCGAATCCAAATTTTTTGACCCTGCACGAGTTCGGAGCTAGGGGTCCAAGGGTCCAAGGTCCAAGGTCAGTTTTCATATTTATTTAAGAGCCGACTGGAATTTTGTAGGTCAGTGGTGGTATACGTAAGTTTAGAAGAAAATGTTCAAGGCGGCTCCATCTTTTTGTTGATGTGCGAACTGATCAATTATTTTTATTTTATTATTAGTTCAAGTGCATAGTTGAAAAAATTGTTAAAAATATTTTATTTTTTCCCTTTAATCAATAATTTATTTCATTCATTTATTCGGAAAGCAAAAATACTTTACAATACTATATACTACATTCTATATAATCTAAGCTAATTAATCAATCGTAATGCACCTAGGTGCGAGGCACCTGTGTGGCATGTTAAATATTAGTACCTACCTATGTATTAAGGAAAACAGCAGAGCAGTGTAATATGCAATGCAAGTCGGGTTTCAACATATTGACACTGTAATGCTAGAAATCCACAAGTGTAACAAAATAAAATAGGTAGGTATTTAATTTTTTTAACAAGTACCTATTAATATCTACAAATATAAATTTTTTAAGATTATCAGAAATGAAACCTCTACATCGACATCCTTTTTTGAACAAATAGGTATTGGCTTTTTAGGTCCCTGATACTCTTAGGAATTATGTTATTTATTCTAGGCCCTAAATAATAAGGCAGGTTAATTTCAATATCATAATAAGTAACAGTGAGTTTTCGGTTTACTTCTTTCCTTCCTGGAAGTTAAAACTGCCATAAGAGCCATCTGAAAAGCGGCATCGATGTTCCATTGATTTATTGCAGAAGTTTCAATAAATCCAGCTGCGCCGATTTCTTTTGCCAGTGCTTCACCTTCCTCCGTCAATACTTGTCTTTCGTTCTTCAGATCGATTTTTGTTGCTGAAATTTCAATAATAAAGTCACACTTTGAATAAATTATATTTTGCCTGCCTTTTCCTGATATGAACGATAGTTTATCGCCAAAACAATCAAAAACCAAAACAAAAACAATCATAAACATGTGGCCAAAATGTCATGGTTTATCGATAGTAGCGATAGGTAGGTATTTCAAAAAATATTGAACAATTGAAAATATCGATAGTTCAAAGTGCAGCCATGGATATGGATACTCGCAGGTTAAGGCAGTCACACACGCATAGCGCTTACATCTATTCCAATGAATACTTACTTTTTATGTCAAACTGTCAGCTGAAAATCATGCGACCTAGATAGTTGTATTCCTTTCACACCTAGAAGGAGCCCGGAACAGCTCCGAGGCGTTACGCTAAATGCACGAAAGCCAGCGCATCTGAGGTGCTTTCCCGTGACCCAGTTGAGTTACTCCTGAGCAGCTCAGGAGCGCTCCGCAATTACTTTGCGCAGTCCAGTGCTTAGAGTGTCGTACACTAGAACTACTCATTTCTGTTATCCCCTGCCCTCTCGTGCACCTAAAGTATGTTTTTTTTTATAAAGATAATTCCCCAAGTCAAAAATTTAGTAACTATGTTGGCAATACAAGCCTTTTCTACATAAAAAATTGCATTGACAATGGTACATTCAGGCGGTGCCAGCAGTTAAGCTTAGCCACTCAGCAGGGACTTTATTCTCAAAACCGAGGAACAGCATTCTCATGAAAACGATTGCTCTGTCATTGTCAGTGTTATGGAAATATGAATACGGTAGACGAAGACAGAACCTTCCTTCTGATGAGAACGCTGCTCCCTTGTTTCGAGAATAAAGTTCCTGCTGAGTGGCTGAACTTAGCCGCTGGCACCGCCTGAATGTACCCAATTTCACATTGTATTGCCAACATAATGTCATTTTGACTTTTATCTTTGAAAAAAAAACAGACTTTACCTATATTTCCGCGTTTCATGCTCCGAAAGTCTGAAATGGTGGGGGTTAAGAAAATTGCAATGAAAAACACGAGAGCGTTCCAGTGCTGCTTATGTCGAATAGTTCAAGAGCATCACACTCCAGAAACATGATACTCTAACAATTTAGTCACTGGAAAGTAGCTCTTTTCCTTCCAAATCGGGGTCGACTAGCACCGGAGCGAGTAGATCTAGTATTCTAAACTCTTAAAAGGAATACAACTTAAGTCTGTTTTTTTTTTTTTAAAGATAATCCCCTTACATAAAAAATTTGAAAGCATTGACCATTTTACATTGTATTGCCAAGGTTGTTGAAAGGTAGGTTGCCTGATAACTTTATGACGACATCTGGGGTGCCTAACCATAATGCAAATCTCCATAAGGCACCCTAGATGCGTCCTCAAGTTACCCATTACCAGACAACCTATAAACTTTAGGAACCTTGTGTATTGCCAACATAATGTCATTTTGATTTTTATCTTAAAAAAAAAACAGACTTTAAGAGGCCAACAACAAATTCAAGCGCGCGAAATTCATTCTTTGTCGCCGAGTTCAAAGTAGGACCGTGATAGACGACGTTACGGCAAATATTTCCGAGATAACGGAAGGGTGTGATCAAATTGCATGGAAGGTGAATAATAAATCCTATGGGCTTTTGTGGAGGCAAAACTAATACACCTATCATATTTAATCTAAATTAAAAAGTATACAGTTATAATAATAGTTTTATAATTTACATTGGGCTTTTTATTTAACAAATAAGAATGTGGAGAATGAAATGTGCGGAAACACAAAAATATATTACAAAGATAATAAAATTTACCTATACAAATACAGCAAAATAGATACTTGAAATGTTTACACAAAAAAAAAGTGAGGTGGCATAGTTACGAGGGTGGGAGAGATGATGTTTATTCGTTTATTACATAAAGAACTTCCAGAAAACCTAGAAAAATAATAAACATTGGTGAGATTGCTCATGAAAACCTCGGACACATCGATTTTTGATTTCAGTTGCCGTTTTTCTGATGGTAATATCATGTATACAGGGTGACCCAGAAACAAGTTGTGACCGCTAACTTTATTTTTTTAAATCAAAACATTAATTTTGAAGTGAAAACTTCTTCAGAATCGTTGGGAGTGATGTGAGACTCGATGAAACGAAAAAGCGACATGACACTTTTTTAACACGCTTATATTAACACACAACAAGAACCTGGAACAAGCCAAGTGAGCTGGAACAAGTCTGGAAAATGTCTGGATAAATCTGGATGAAGTCTGGAAAAGTCTGGAAATCTCTGGAAACGTCTGGAAAGAGCCTGGAAATTTCTGGAAAGGGTCGGAAAAATTCTGCCAAAGGTCCCAAAAGACCTGGGGATCATTCTCCAGAATCCGGATCAGTCTGTACAAGTCTGGATAAGGTCTGGATAAATCTGGATTAAGTCTGTAAAACTCTGGATAAGTCTGGATATTGTCTGGAAAAGTCTGGAAACGTCTGGAAAAGACTTGGAAATTTCTGGAAAGGGTTGGAAAAATTCTGAAAAAGGTCCCAAAAGACCTGAGGATCATTTACCAGAATCCGTATCAGTCTGAACAAGTCTGAATAAAGTCTGGATTAATCTGGATGAAGTTTGGAAAACTCTGGAAAGCTCTGGATAAGTCTGGATAATGTCTGGAATTCTCTGGAAACGTCTGGAAAGAGCCCGGAAATTTCTGGAAAGGGTCAGAAAAATTCTGCCAAAGGTCCCAAAAGACCTGGGGATCATTTTCCAGAATCTGGATCAGTCTGTACAAGTCTGGATAAGGTCTGGATAAATCTGGATTAAGTCTGTAAAACTCTGGATAAGTCTGGATATTGTCTGGAAAAGTTTGGAAACATCTGGAAAAGACTTGGAAATTTCTGGAAAGGGTTGGAAAAATTCTGAAAAAGGTCCCAAAAGACCTGGGGATCATTTTCCAGAATCCGGATCAGTCTGAACAAATCTGGATAAAGTCTGGATTAATCTGGATGAAGTCTGGAAAACTCTGGATAAGTCTGGATAATGTCTGGAAATCTCTGGAAACGTCTGGAAAAGGCCTGGAAATTTCTTGAAGGGGTCGGAAAAATTCTGGAAAAGGTCCCAAAAGACCTGGGGATCATTTTCCAGAATCCGGATCAGTCTGAACAAATCTGGATAAAGTCTGGATTAATCTGGATGAAGTCTGGAAAACTCTGGATAAGTCTGGATAATGTCTGGAAATCTCTGGAAACGTCTGGAAAAGGCCTGGAAATTTCTTGAAGGGGTCGGAAAAATTCTGGAAAAGGTCCCAAAAGACCTGGGGATCATTTTCCAGAATCCGGATCAGTCTGTACAAGTCTGGATAAATCTGGATGGAATCTGGAAAACTCTGGGAAGCTCTGAATAAGTCTGGATAATGTCTCGAAAAGTCTGGAAATCTCTGGGGCTGACACGCTATTATAATACATCGAACTAAAAAGTGAAAAATAAATGTATTTTTTCTACAAACGTGTTAAAAATGCAATTTTTAACACGGCCCCGAAGCATTAAAAATGTTACTTTATCGCACTAGTGCCATAAAGTCTTTTTCTACTGACGTTTCATAATAGCAACTTTTCGATTGTCATTTCAGTTTTGAAACGACATTCTTTTAGGCACTGAGTGCGTGAAAGTTACTTTTAGGCACTCAGTGCGTAAAAGTGACTTTTGAATGCGTAAAAGTGACTTATGAGTGCGTAAAAGTAATTTTTAAGCACTAGTGCCTAAAAGTGTCATTCATTATTCAGAAATAAAAAACACACTAAACACATATTTGAATTTTGTTTTGTATTTATTATGAATATTGAAAATGGAATTACTGAATTGAACGTTTGGGTTACTCAAAACAGAAGTTTGTGTTATTACCTACTTTCTAGGATTTTAATTATTGATGTCGAATTTTGAAAAGAAAATCGCATGAAAAGTGTCAGGTGTCAAGTAAAAGCAGGTAACAAAGATTTTGGGTGTAATCGACTTATTCACATGAAATAAAATTGTGTTTTTTTATTATAAAATGCCAGTAGAAAAAATCTTGTATACAATACGTTACGAAACGATGTCTTTTAGTCACTCGACGTGTTGTCCAACTCGGCTTTGCCTCGTTGGACAATTTTCACGTCGCGTGCCTAAAAGACGCTCATTTCGTAACTTATTGTATAAATAGCTATTATAGCATTAGTGTTAAAAGTGAAACATCAAATTTTGAGAGCGGACGTCAAAAAAAGTTTGTATTTTCAGTTATTTACATTGATATTAATGGTGAAATTTGAACAACTGAGGTAGCCCGATTGGCCGCCTCATCTATATTTTTCGAAGGATCGATGCAACCCTCTGTTTCTTCTGTATCTGACCACGACAGACTTTCAAGAAACTGAAAAGACATTTCGTTACCTGTAAAACAAGGTGCTAGTTGTATGGATTTTTTGACAAATGTCAAATTCAAGAATTTTATGTAGGAAAGATGCTTCCAATTTATTATTCATTTAAAAATCCAATTTGTTAGTGGTTATTGCTTTTTATTGCCGTTTGTAGAAAAAATATTGTATGATATTTGTGTTAAAAGTATTTTTAAGGCACTTATGTGAATTGCAGAATTCGCTTCGCTCATTCTGCAAACTTTCACATGCGTGCCTTAAAAATGTACTTTTAACACTTATATCATAAATAACTATTAAAAAAACTAAAAAACACGCTTTTATAGTAAATTGAACTAAAAAGTGAAAAATAATTTTTAATAGAAACAGAAAATATTAATGAACAAAAAATATTAGAATTATTGTCAAAAAAGCGTGGGGTGCTCAATGTATGAAAAATGTGGAACAAAGCACCCCAGCGTGTATTTTAGTTTTTTCAAACTATATTTATTTGCGTTCTTTCTCAAGTCTTTTGGAGGGGGGGGGGGACGCCACTGTGTATGTTAGTATGTGTGTAATGCATGCAGTTCGATGAAGGTTTCACTTCTACCGGGTGTGAACTGTACAGGATTTTT